GGGGGTAATCTGGCCTTTGCCCCGGTGGGCAGGATGTCTAGGTCTGCTCCTGGGTGGGACCCTCGTTCCTCAGGATGGATGTCACTTCCTCTAGGGGTACACCTAGGGGGGGGTCCCCTGTCCCGTGATTGGCTGGGTCACGTACTTCTCTGTCACCTCCACCTCGGAGCTGGCTTTGTGGGCCACCAGGTGTATGGATGGAGAACTTCTTCCTGGGGGATGGGGGGGGGTAATCTGGCCTTTGCCCCGGTGGGCAGGATGTCTAGGTCTGCTCCTGGGTGGGACCTTCGTTCCTTAGGATGGATGTCACTTCCTCTAGGGGTACACCTAGGGGGGGTCACCTGTCCCGTGATTGGCTGGGTCACGTACTTCTCGGTCACCTCCACCTCGGAGCTGGCTTTGTGGGCCACCAGGTGTCTGGATGGAGAACTTCTCCCTGGGGGGGGGTAATCTGGCCTTTGCCCCGGGGGGCAGGATGTCTAGCTCTGCTCCTGGGTGGGACCTTCGTTCCTTAGGATGGATGTCACTTCCTCTAGGGGTACACCTAGGGGGGGTCACCTGTCCCGTGATTGGCTGGGTCACGTACTTCTCGGTCACCTCCACCTCGGAGCTGGCTTTGTGGGCCACCAGGTGTCTGGATGGAGAACTTCTCCCTGGGGGGGGGTAATCTGGCCTTTGCCCCGGGGGGCAGGATGTCTAGCTCTGCTCCTGGGTGGGACCTTCGTTCCTTAGGATGGATGTCACTTCCTCTAGGGGTACACCTAGGGGGGGTCACCTGTCCCGTGATTGGCTGGGTCACGTACTTCTCGGTCACCTCCACCTCGGAGCTGGCTTTGTGGGCCACCAGGTGTCTGGATGGAGAACTTCTCCCTGGGGGGGGGTAATCTGGCCTTTGCCCCGGGGGGCAGGATGTCTAGCTCTGCTCCTGGGTGGGACCTTCGTTCCTTAGGATGGATGTCACTTCCTCTAGGGGTACACCTAGGGGGGGTCACCTGTCCCGTGATTGGCTGGGTCACGTACTTCTCTGTCACCTCCACCTCGGAGCTGGCTTTGTGGGCCACCAGGAACAGGGTCTCCAGCAGGATCTTCGTGGCGCTGCCGCCCTTCATACGCGAGGAGCCGCAGACGGCCTCAGGCTGCAAGGGAAATGGAAAGTGGTTGGCGGGGCAATGAGTACGCAATGGGCGTGGTAATGGGGGGGCCCCAACCCAACCTCCCCCCCCCCACACACGGGTCACAATGCACCGCCATGCACAGGACAGCACGGTTGGGGTGGCCCGCGTTGCCACAGGTAGTGCATGATGTTGGGAACGGGCCCCTAGGAGACGATCTTCATTCTCTTGGTGGACTCACCCCGATGGCCGGGTTCAGCACGAAGCCCGTCTGTGTGTCGTGGAGGCTCTGCATCCGCTCGGCCACCTGCCGGAAGGTGGAGGTCCAGCCTTCAATCTGCTCATTACTGTAAGGTAACATGAGAGGTCAGTCCTGCTTCTCTGGCCCGGGGCCCCGGGGCCACCTCCTCCTCCCACAACCTACCTGGCTGTACCAACTGGATTAAACCCAACCAGGACCGGCAGGAAGACATCCAAGTTCTTCATGCAGAAGTCCAACTGTCCGGCAATGAAGGGAGCCTGTGCGGGCAAAGGACATCATCACTGTTATTACTGATATGGCAACAACGTCTTCCATAGCGGTGTACAAATTTAGCCCATCCAGCGGAGACAACCGGAGGCCACCAATGTGGACCTTCTTCTGGCCGAGTTATGTTCTCCTTTGCTTCTAAAGGGGCTGGAGGTCATCAGGTCCCATATTCAATGGCAGAGGTAATGTGGTGGTCGGTACTCACCGATAGGCTGCAGGAGACGCCCAGGTAGACAACCTTCTTCTTGCCGGCACACACCTGGAATGACAGACACCGACGCGTGAATGGAAAGCTCTGGCGGAGGAGGAGGAAGGACCAACATGGCAGACAGGAGAGTCACCGAGCTCTCACACACACCGACACGTGAAAGGAAAGCTCTGGCGCAGGAGGAGGAAGGACCAACATGGCGGACAGGAGGGATCACCGAGCTCTCACACACACCGGGGTCATGTGATTATGGTGAAAGTCTGGAGCCCCAGACAGAACTATGGGCAGACCCCCTCCCCCCCAACCTCCATCACACTGTGATCACCTATCTCACATGGCCGGATGAAGATCTTCTCCCCTTCTCTCCACAGACAAGAGAAGGATCAGGGAAATCTCAACACCTCCCGTGGTCATGAGAGAGGGATGGGCCCCAAGGGAAGCCCTACGTGGCCCCTTTCCCGTTCTATCACCCCCGGCTTAGCTGTGATGGGACCCAGTGCCAGGACAAGGTCATCCAGTGCCCAGGGTGAAGATGCCAAACTGTGCGCTGCCCTCCCACCCCACATGTCTGATAGTCTTCTGCTACTTGGATCCCCATCCCATGTACCACCTCCCTTGTCTCAGCCCCAGGACCACCCATTGGGTTCCCCGTGGACCCAGAACCACGCAGTGAGGTCAATGCCAAAACTTGACTTCTTCTCCACTCCCGTTGGCTGACTTTGCTGAAAATACCGATCGGTATGGCGGATACCGATCCTTATATCGGAGTGAAGCCCAAAGTCCTCCGTCTCCTCTGGAAGTTGGGACTCACCCTCTCCAGCTCCTGCGCTCCCAGCAGCGGACTGTCATCAGGCGCCTCCTGAGCCGCCACCACGGACCTGCGAAGACAACACGTTACTGAACATCTCCACCGATGCCAAAACAAACATGGATCTCGGACATCCCCCTCCGCGTGTCCCTGGCAGACTGAGGGGGGGGGAGGGGGGATGACACAACATCAGTGACGCACACTCACCG